ATCAAATCCTACATTTTATTATCAGTCTTTAGCTGCTTCTTATATCCATGTCTGCAGGATTCTCAATGAACTTTCATTTCATTGTTTTGTATTACTATTTAATTAATACTGTTCACTTTGTTATAGCTAAACAATAATATTTTTTTATTGTTATTTTATGAATTACCTTGTAACTTGTATCTATTTTTAAATTACTATTAATACTGTGTATTTGACCCTTAAATAAAAATAAAAGTACAGTATCAATTTTAATTAAGTATGATAATATAAGATTTTTTTTATGATTTTTAACCCTGGAGGGTTAGCCACCCAGGATAGCCCAAGAAAGGCAGTGCATCTCCTAGGGACTGTCTGTCTTATTTCCACTGGGGTCCTTAATCTAGGTCCCTTAAGATGCGACCCACACCAGTTGACTAACACCCAGGTACCTACTGGCTTGCTAGGTGAATGGGACAACAAGTGTAAGGAAAGATATGCAATGTTTCCACCCTTGCTGAGAATCGAACCACAGACACTCAGCGTGTAAAGCAAGAACGTTGCCTACCAGGCCATGGGCCACCGTATAGTACAGTATATATATAGTCTAAGTCTTGCCTGAAATGCTAAGTTTCTTATAAGCCTTCAGATAATTGCATATTTTATACAGTAATTTTGAAATAATGATTTGCATTTGTGTATGTAAAAAAGATTTAAGAGTAGCTTGATGGAAGGTGCTGTGGAGAGCAAAGAAAATATAAAAAGAACTTCAAACAAGTATATAGGAAGTGGGCTAATCCAGACTTATCAAGAGATAAAGAAGCAAAAAATTATTACACAAATGTAAGGAGAAAGGAAGAAAGAAAAGAAAATTATAGACCAGAGCAAGATGAAACCAAATCGTTTATTAAAGTTTGTAAAATGTGAACCAAATCATAAAGACAAAATACAAAGAATTATATAAAGCAAAAACACTTGAATAGAGGAAGAAATGTGCAAGGTACAACTGTTTTTGTTTACAAAATTTGGTTTATATGTAGCAGATTTAAGCTCAAACAGATAACAGAGGTTAGAGAATACTGTACTGAGATAGCTACAGAGGTAGTTAGAAATTATTACTAATGCTGATGAAACAAAAGCAAGAGGACCAGATGAGTTATCACCCTGGCCTAGGTTACCATAAATGTCACATTAAAGTACCATATATTTTAATGAATATGCTGTATCATTAAAATTTTAATATAAATTATATGCATTGCAATACTGTACTTTTTTTGAGCACGAGAGGTCAAGTAGGTGCCATTATGCTGAAGGATTCTTGATTCTCGGAGTGAGAGCTGCCCTCCCCTTCCTTAGATCAAACTTGATTACCTCCCATTCTCCTGGTATGCCCCAATGAATGTAATAATTCACGTATCTCCCACCAGCCACCTGGTTACTATTAGTGCTAGTTAATCAATGTATTTCTTCCCAGTCTCAAAAACAGTTTTATTAGTTATTTTCATGAGGAAATGTTAAACTCACTGAGATCATTGGTAGCAACCTCAGCTCACTTTGATTTTTTTAGTAATCCAAGGTAATTTACACATATGTTACTAGGTATGATAATTGTACTTATGTGTACCTGTACCTAAATAAACTTATTCACACTGAGGGTCTGGGGTTCGATCCCCAGGCGAGCAGAAACGTTGAGAATGTTAGCTTTAACCTGCTGCCCCTGTTGACCTAACAGTATATAGAAACGTGGGAGTTAGTAGACTGGTGCAAGTTGCATCCTGGGAAAGAAGATTAAAAGAACCCCATTGGAAATAAGCCAGTCTGATGATATAATATAAAGTGGTTATAATCATAACCATAACTTTTAAAGGGGTGAACCGGTAAGCCAGTAGAAGGCCTCGGTCAGATGACCAAAAGCTCCAGCTTCTGGTCATCATATGACTAACACCCGCATCATGATTATTATTATCAAGGGGGAAGCGCTAAACCCGGAGGATTATAGAGCGCCTGGGGGATATGTGGAAGGCATTCAGGCTTAATTCGGGGAACTGGAGCACAGATCCAATTCCCTAAATCAAGAGCCCCTCACCAACATCAAGGAACCTTCCTTGAGGGGTAAACCCGCATCATGAAACACCTGTCCTGTTTCCTGTCAAACCTTACCTAACCTAAGCTGATGATACAGCTTTACTGAGTTACCTAGGGTTTCTAACCCTTACGGTTAAAAATAATCTTGAATCTAGTTTGATCCCAGGGAAAGGAGGAGAGCTACAATTTTTGGGACCAAAACCTTTCCCCCCGGCATAAAGGAACCCACCTTGGTATAACTGCATGGCATAATAGGTTGCACGAGTGACTTATATACCTTGCAACATTATGCAATACATTACATAGCTTCATGTCATTCACTTGGCTTCTCACTTTGCCACCGCCGGGGCCCACCATTTTTAAATATAATTTGATTTAGTTTAAAATTTTTAAAGTTTAAACACGCTAATTTAAAATGTCTAAAAATTTTTTGCTAAATTATATTACATAATAAGAGTCATATATAATAATTTTACCGTAGCACACCCAAAAAAATTAACTTATTTATTTCGTTAGTTCACTTTGTTTTTTTTAGAGAGGGTTTACATACCGGGTTTTGTGTCCTGGGGGCACCAAATAGTGCCTGAGCAGAAAAAAAAACACAGTCATTGTACACTGTTAAAACACACCAATGACTGATGCTGTTGTCTGCTGCACTGCGCTGCTGCTGCCCCTCCACCTCAACCAACCGTCACTTCTCCCAGGACACACAACCCACACCTGTAAATTGATTCGGAAATTTAAAAATACAGATACATAGATTTCATACATACAGCATAGTGGGGAGAACCTGAGAAAACCCCCAAAAAAGCAAAGTGACTTACCCCACGGGGGTCCTTGCAAGTACAAATAACAAATATAAATAAGTCACATTTTTTTAACTACTGGGTTACCCAAAGGTTAATCTTCATAATATACATGTTCCCCGTAACGTGCGGTTCTCAAAATCATTATAAAAATTGTAATAAAAGCAATATATACAAAGTTTTTTTTTAGGTAGCATAAACAATAAACTTTTTTCTTTACAAGGGTTTTTGAGCCCCAACTTATGGACACAAAATAACAATACATTAATACATGGATCCGGAAATGTGGACACTTGGCATGTTTCCTTAAGAAATTTTTTTTAGGTACGGGTATCATAAGTAAAATTTACCACATAGTAAATTCCCAGGATAACAAAAATTCATGTGACTGATTCTATTGGGGTCCTTGACTCACGAAATCATAAAAAACCTGTTATGAACAAATCAAGAAAACTTTAGTGTTCCTTAGGGGGATGTACCTAGAAAACCAACTGTTGGGGGCCATCCGGGGAACGAGGATCAAGGCCACTGAAAAAAACCCAAAAAAACTGCTTATTTATATCCAGTGTTACAAACCCCCCGGGGTTAAAAATCCGAAAAAATCTTAAACTTCCGATGGGGGGTGTGTTAGGTAAACTATTTTTTTTGTTTTAAATCTTAACAATATTTTACAGTACCACATAATTTCTGTAAAAAAGTTGTTCATTTTATACATAGCTTCAAAGGGTTTGCAGTGGCTTATGTAGAACTTATCTTAGAAAACCCATAACTCAAGTTTTTTAAAACGGGCAAACATATACACTAAGTTCAAATAATTTCAAACATACTTTTTTCCTTTTTCAGTCTCTTTGACTATGAAAAGTAATTTTATTCTATACCCCAAATCAGTTACAAGAATTATCATACAACACATTTTTTGAGAACCTAGGATAACCCAAGTCATGTGTCTCTAGTTTATTATTAACGCAGTATGAAAAATACATTTTATTAGAAATACCGTCTAACTTTGGCTGTTATAAGCAAAACTGACTTATTAAATTGAAATATTTTCAAAAAAACGAGATAAACGAATATTTAAAAATGAACGACGAGGGGTTTAAGCAAGAAAGAGGATGATACGTCGTTTCATCCTGTTAAAGAGTCAGTCTTTTAAGCACTGCTGAACAAGAGAGTCTAGAGACGATCACAACAACTTTATTCCTTTGGCAGGTGAGCTTTCCTCTAAACTGATCATGAAAATCGGAACTCGTCTCCTGATGAATAAAAAACTTAAAAATCAAGTAAGACACCAGCGATACTTCCTCACCGAAAAATTATTTTTTTCCAAAATCCTCCTTCCCCCAGATAACCTTAAAGGACAGTCAAAACCAAATAACCCGCAATAAAAAGAAACTTACGACACGTTTTGGGGCCCACTTGGGCCATTACAAATCACCTAACATCAAAGCTTTTTTTGAAGCAAACACAACATTGAGTCTTATCACACAGCCTCACTTCCAGAAATTATGTAATTGATGGGTTTTGTTAACCAACCCCCGGGTGTAGCAGGGACTGCCGCCGCTAATACCAGTCATAACCCTTTAAAATTGGGGCCGCACCAACCGCAACGTTAAACCCCAGAGGTTATAGAGAGAGGCTGGAACTCGGGGCGAGCCAAGGGAAAGGGGAAAACAGGTTTTAATGCCTTGGATCAAGAGCCTCTCACCATGTTAAAAGCCTCCCAAGTAAAGGTACATCAAAGACTGGACTTCACCTTCAAATTGAAATGTTTTTTTTATGTTTTTATTATAGCAACTGGGGCCCGTAGATCGTGTTCATAGGCAGTACATCGTGTTCATAGTCAGTACTCGTGTTCATGTCATAATCGGTTCAAATCAGTACTCGTGTTCATAGTCAGTAAAAACGTTCATAGTCAGTACATCGTGTTCAAGTCATACATCGTGTTCATATCAGTACACGGTTTATAGTCATACAAACCCTGTTCATAGTCAGTACACGGTTTTATAGTCATACACCCTTTTAAGTCAGACATCGTTTCATATCAGTACATCGTGTTTAATCATACATCTGTTCATATCAGTCATCGTGTTCTATCATAAACGTGTTTATAGTCAGTAACGTGTTTTAGCATACATCTGTTTAAGTCATACATGTGTTCAAAATCATAAACCCTGTTCATATCTACATCGTGTTCATAGTCAGTACATCGTTTCAAAGTCATACTCGTGTTCATAGTCATACATCGTGTTCATATCATACATCGGGGTTTTATAGTCTACATCGTGTTCATAGTCAACATCGTGTTCAAAATCAGTACATCGTGTTTTATACAACATCGTGTTTTAAAACAGTACACCGTGTTCATAGTCATACATCGTGTTCATGTCAGTACATCTGTTTATATAGTCTTTTTCTAATTTAGTACATCGGTGTTTATAGTATAATCTGTTTAAGTATAATCCGTGCTAGTCATAACTTTTTCATATTAGTACATCCCGTGTTTATAGTAGTACATCTGTTAATGAATCTTCATAGTATAAAAGTGTTTCATTCCAAGTACATGTGTTTATAGTATAAAAATTTTCAATAGTACATCTGTCAATATACAACCTTTTATAGTCGTACAACTGTTTATATCAGTACTCTTTTCATATCAAGTACATGGTTTTATAGACACGGAAATAAAACGTTAATTGGGGAACCCCGTGTTCAACAAAAAATTTCAAAGAAGTTTTAAAAAAGGGGTTTTTTTACAGGCCCAAAAAATAAAGGTTTAAGTTTTAAAATCGGCATGTAAAAATTAAAATTTTTCAAAAGCAAAAAGGTTTCTAGATAAATCGGAAAAAACATGGGTTTCAAGCCCAGTTTTTCTATCTTTCAAATCAGACAGGGTCATAAAACCCCTTTTTAAACAGTCCCCCGGCAAAGATAAAGGTTCATGCATAATTGTTCATTAGCCCCCTAACAGTAATCGGTTTTAATTAAATTTTAAGCAAAAAGGTTTTCAAAACTCGGTTCTACAGACTCGGAAGCAAAAGGTTTTCGACTCTGAAAGCAGTAAACCGTTTTTCAATCAAGCCCTTTTTTCAAGCTCATCTTTTAACAGCCCGTGTCTATAAAAAAACCCGGCATAGCCCTCAAGGGGGAAATAGAAAAAGGGGAAATAGAAAATGGTTAAATTACAAACTGGTTTTAAAAAACCACTTTTCTAGAAAATCTTTCAACAGCACTGTTAAGCGTTCGTTTCAAAGTCATACACGGTTTCATAGAAAAAAATTTTTAAAATTTTGTTTAAAATTTGTAAAATCTAAGCAAATTTGGAAAAATTTACGGAAAGTCTAATTTTTCAACCGAATGTTTTTCAAATAATAGGGAAAATAACTGTTCAACCTACACCCCCTTCGTTTTTTAATTCATATCGTAACAGTCAAAGACTTTTTCCTGGGGAACACAATCTGAATCTTTTCATTGAAAAAGCTCAATGACTTAACCAAAAAATTTTCCCAAATATTAATTTCCCAATGAAAAAACCCTCAGTAGTAAAATGAATTTTTTTTAAAATCTGCCTTTGAACCCGTAACTAAATTTAATAAAAAAAATTTCCAAATTAGACCATAAATGTATTAATTTCCCATTGAAAATTTTTAATAATACCCTAAAAATTTTTTTTAGGGGCCCCCCACCCCCGGTTTTTCACCTCGGGGGCCCCCCAAAAATTTAAAGAAATTTTCCAAAAAATTTTTAAAAACTCCCCCTTAATTTGAAAATTTTCGGGGGCCCCTAAGTTCCCACCCAAAACCGGCCCAGAGTAATGTTTATCACCTAAAATTTTTAAGGCATTTTTAAAAAATTTGTTTTGCAAGAAACCTCCCCTTGCATGAAACGTATAAAGGACTAATTTACTTGGTGTTGCAGATATATCCTGACTTCAACTTCCAAAGCCTAGTTTTAGCCCCCTTGGATTTCCCCCTTTGGGGAACCACGTGAAAACCGGGAGCATTAATTCCTGCAATATTCAATCGTTATTAGTGTCCTGCCTGCACCTCAGAAATTCCTATATCCAAGAGGGTATGTATCCCCTATATAACAATGCAGACTCAGACGCTAGCTTCAGACGACTCTGAGACGCTGGTACTTACTGGGCATACTCTCTCTGTAGCACGCCGGAGCCTCAGTTAACTCAATCCACAATCTCCTAAGTCACTGGCCAGATCCTACTGGAAAAGGTGAATATCTCGTCTTACTGTATGGGCTGATGGAGGATCATCTACGGTACATCGAGGTGTCTCTACCAGATTTCCCCGGGTCTCAATGTGAAGACACGGGGGGCGCCGCCTGATGTTCACGCACGTCTTGTCCAGTCGAAGTCTATCGTAAGAAGGACGCTATTCTGTCTTTGTGACCTGCGCCCCCGCCATTAAAGCAAAGGGCTCCAGTTCTCCCTAGCTAACTTATCCTAATGTTTGCCTACTTTAAATCGGCCTATTACTACCTATGTTAAGGTCTTAGGTCTACTCTATCATTATCTACAGATGCCTTAGTAAACCTAATATTAGTGTATTACCAGTAAACCTACCTACTCCTTCCCCGAAGAGTAAATCTATAAATTAAATAAGCTTACCAACCGCCAACCAGAGAATGCCTTGCTTGTTTGGGAGGGTTTAAGGGTCGCTCGGCTCAGACGACCAGACGCTCATGCTGGATCTGAGCTGTGGAACTATTTGGACCAAATAAATTTCCACAATTATGTACTTGAATGCGAAAAAAAATCATGAAATTAAACAAAGAACTTACGAATGGTTAAAAAATGTTAACTTACTTGTAGTAGCAACTAACCAGTATTATAATGGTACTTAGTGGAGTGGAGTGACTTTCATTAGTTTCTTTTTTCTTGAAATACCAGACGTATACTGTGAATTTCATATAACCTGTAGTTACCAGCGGTCGCAATATACACAACTAGAAGCAATTATTACTACAGAAAAAGCGTGCTTCCTCCAAAATTTCCACCAGTCAACTATAGTGATAATATAGCATTTATTGTGGTGGAGACGAAAAAAAACTAGAAAAGCGATTGATAAACAAGGGTTGAGGCTCGACCGTTCGTCACTGTAGGAGCTGCCAGAAATCACCGGCTCTTCAACACGCAAGTTATACTTTTGTATCAATCAAATCACATATTACTCGGGTAGATAATTTCAAGTAGATCCTTCATGTGTTAGCCCAAATCACCGACTAGTATGTTTTAAATAAGTGACCCACTGATCAGATCAGATCGACTGGTCCGAACCCTCGACTGGTCCGAACCCTTGATGGTCCGAACCCTTGACTGGTTAAAACCCGGTTTCGTTGGACAATAAGCAGACTGTAAACGAGGGGGTTGTAGGCGCCCTTATCAAACAAACAATAAAAAATAAATCAGGAACGTACACGGTAAGCTGTCCAATTAGTTAGAAATAAAATACAAATAGCTAGAGCTTCATTTAAAGAGGTTATTAATAGAGTATTCAAGAGGTTGCTAGTAGAATTACAGTAAATCAACCACTCAAATCATTATGAAGCTCGTTTTAGTCTGCAGTCAATCAAACAAACGGGTTTCCACATGGGTAAATTGTCATTTTTTGTGGAAATTGGTGTCACGCCCCTTGTGCAGATATCCAAGAACTAGCTACCTGGAGTTTACCTGGAGAGAGTTCCGGGGTCAACGCCCCCGGGGGCCCGGTCTGTGACCAGGCCTCCTGGTGGATCAGAGCCTGATCAACCAGGCTGTTGCTGCTGGCTGCACGCAAACCAACGTTTCGAGCCACAGCCCGCTGATCCGGAACTGACTTTAGGTTCTTGTCCAGTGCCAGCTTGAAGACTGCCAGGGGTCTGTTGGGAATCCCCCTTATGTGTGCTGGGAGGCAGTTGAACAGTCTTGGGCCCTGAACTTATTGTATGGTCCTTTTTAACGTCTAGTGACACCCCGCTTTCATTGGGGGGATGGTGCAACGTCTGCCAAGTCTTTTGGGTTTCGTAAATGAGTGATTTTCGTGTGCAAGTTCGGTACTAGTCCTCTAGGATTTTCCAGGTGTATTAAATCATGTATCTCCCCCCTCCTGCGTTCCAGGGGAAAACAGGTTTAGGAACCTCATGCGCTCCCAATAATTGAGATGTTTTATCTCCGTTATGGGCGCCGTGAAAGTTCTCTGTACATTTTCTAGGTCGGCAATTTCACCTGCCTTGAAAGGTGCTGTTAGTGTGCAGCAATATTCCAGCCTAGATAGAACAAGTGACCTGAAGAGTGTCATCATGGGCTTGGCCTCCTAGTTTTGAAGGTTCTCATTATCCATCCTGTCATTTTTCTAGCAGATGCGATTGATACATACATTCACACATAAACAGCGTCATGCTCTGGGTTTACGAAGACTCCCACGAGGCCTTACAACTGGAGGTGCACTTACAAAACTCATGGACAAGGGTAGCACTGTTGACATTGATAAGGTCTGCTATTTATATGAACAATTTTTTCATTATGCTGAGAAACTCAAGATGATCCCAGGACTACTATAATGGATCAAAACTCGTATAAACTTTCTATATTAAGCTGGAACATTGCATCACTTAGAAAAAGACTTCCTGAACTTCATCATAAAGTAACCACCGAACCCATTGATGTTGTGTGTCTACAAGAGTGCAGAGTCCCTGAAAAATCCCAACCCCCTAAATTACCATCATTTGTTGCATATAAACCTCAAATCTACTAACTCTTTGTTCTATATATTAAAAAATCACTTCCCATCAACTTCTTGCACACAAGAAAACAGAGGGGCTACAATATCACGGGGTTAGGATTTATAATAGGGAACTCTGCTCTCAACATATTTAACTTGTATGTCCCCGGTAAAATTTTTACT